CCCTAAACCCTAAATCCCAACCCCTCGAGGTACATCCTCCCACGGGTGATCCGATCAGTGCTGCACTCCCAGTCGCAGAAGCTGATCCAGGTGCTCCTCTGCGGCAGTTTGCTTTGGGGGCAGTTCTAATACTTGATGCTGCCTGTCCGAAGGCCGCCGAGAGTACATTTTGAAGTTTTCGTCAGTATGTCCAGCTAGGAACATGTTGACATACGAAGTGAATGCAGGCATCAGCTTGTGCACCACATTAAGCTGTTGCACAGTGCTTGATCTGTTAGCGTAAAGCGTGCATGCAAGATCACGGTTGCCGTGCTACTACGGCATTAGCACAGCACATGACCAGGAAGGCTGCTTCATGCATGCCCAGTAAGGCTAAGTCACTAGAGCTGTTGCTACAGAGCATGACGAGAGGAGGCTGGTGTTGTAGTTGATTGTCACCACCGTGACCGCCCACGAACCCCTTTTGATGACTCTGGCTCAAAAGTGCTGGCCATCCATTTTGCGAGGGCCCGCGGACGCGAGAAGTACTGCCATCCGTGCACATGACAGCTTGCCCCGTTGAGCAGGACCAGGCGACCCAGTCGGAGCCCGCGACGCCGGCAACGCAGGGTTTCAATGTGGAGTCGCAGGCCGCTGGGGAGTCTTGTCATGCGGTAGTCTTTTCCACCAGCGGCGATGAGAAGTTCGAATTCGAGCTGGAAGGAGCCAGCAACGAGATCTTCCTTGGACGCTCGCCAGATTGTGAAATTCAGGCCAAGGACATGCACGTGTCCAAGAAGCACCTGCGGATCTATCGTGATGAGCAGCTGTGTTATTTCATCGAGCAGCTCAGCCCTGCGGGGACATTCATCAATACACAGTACATGAGGAAGGGGGAGCACCGTGTGCTGAACCATGGTGATGCCATCACGATTACAAGCCAGCTCTCTTCCAATACAGTTCCCTTCGCATCCTTCTTGTTTCGCATGACAGGACAGACTGAGGCAATGGCACCACAAGAAGTTGAAAACTTGGCCAAAGTTAAAGTTGATACATCGGATTGCGATCTTCGGCATCTGGTCACAGACGGCTGGGTGAGGAGGCAGTGGGACATCTCGCAGAAATTGGGCGGTGGTGCCTTCAGCACCGTAAAGCTGGGTGTGCGCACCAAGCAGGGGAGCTCGGAACAGCTCATGCCAGGGCTGAGATGTGCCATGAAGATCATCGACAAAAGGAAGTTGGTGAAATTTCAGAGGAAGCGTTCCTCCAAGGAGAATCTGAATCAGGAGCCGGAACTGATCAGCAGCCTGCGGCACCCCAACATTGTGTCCTGCCTTGAGTGGTTCCAGACGGAGACCTGCATTTACCTTGCTTTGGAGTTGATCCATGGTGGCTAGGTCTTTTAGCGGGCTCCTTTTCTCTTCTTGTGGTCTTACGTAGGCTCCTCATAAAGCTACCCCATACCAAAACGGGAGGCCTTTTTTGTATTCCTAGGCTACCGGGGAACCCTAGGTGGGGACCTGCTGCACGACTTGATGTCTGGGGGCAGCTTGACTGAGATGCAAGCGCTGCGAAGCTTCCGGCAGATCTGCCGTGCAGTGCAGTACCTGGGCTTTGGAGTACCATGCTTT